GAAGCTATTAGAAAGTTCAAGGAAGGAAATACTGACCCGAACCTATTTAGCTTTATGGTTCAGCACCAAATGGGATATAATTTCAAACCTGGAAAATACAAGCTCGCTAAGGGATATGATTTAATAGCATATCATCCAAATGACATGAACGAATTTACTCCGAGATATTTGGTGTCAGAGATAAATGACAATTCAACTATCTTCATGAAACGCGTAAAAAATAGAGACGGAACGAAAGAACAAAGGCTTATGAATGCGGATGACTTAAATAGGGAACTTGTTGAAAACGGTCTCGGAATATATGAAATGCCAGCAGATGAGGTACAAGAAACTCCACAGGAAGAAGTTCAGATACAACCAGACATGGAAGAAATAGTTCAGCAACAACAGCTAGAAGAGCCTGAAGGAAACGAACAAGTCCCTTTGGAAACTAACTTCACAGAACTAGATGAAGATTTGGAACAGCCGAAAAATCTTGACCCTCAACAAGAGTATGAGGTGAATATGGAATCTTTCCAAGAGTCTAAAAAAAATTCGGCTGACATAGTAGAAGAATATCGAAAAATGTTTGCCGACATACAAAGACTCCAACACCAGATGAAAATATTCAGCATAGAATGGAAGTACTGAAAGAAAATGTACGCAAATACAACAACCCTTTTTACTTACGAGCATATAACGTTCAATCTTTGGATGACTCGGTGAAAATAAAAGGTTAAATTTCAACAAACATATAGAAATGAAACATTGTTTAAAGTTCATTCAGAACCTAACCAAGATGGAAACAAACCTACTTTTGTTTCTGCAGACTATGGAACTACAATGAGATGGGTCATAAAGCTAACCCGGATAGGTGGTTCATAAACTTACAACCACAATTCCAAGAAGTTGTAGACGCAATGGAAGTGAATGGTGAACCAGATTTAGCTGGTATTTTCAGCGCGGCTTTAATGCCATTGAAAGATATGAAAGATGCAGATATTTTGGACCAGTATGAAATGAACATGGCTGATGGAAATATAACACCTGACGTTCTAGAACATTTATCTCAAAGAACTACACAGAACCATAAAGATGGTATATTTGGTGAAGAGTTTAGAAAGAAAGTTAGGGAGAGCGAAGGACGAGAACCTATTGTACATGACCTTGCAAACGAAAGTTTACAAAATGTCATAAAAACTTACTTTGCAGACAATGAACCGAGAAGGGATGAATATTTAAGAAAACTCAAATGGACAGTACCAAATGAAATGTTAGTATTGAAAAACATGTTCCTTGACAAAATAAAACCAATACAGAAATAAATGACGCAAGACTGAAACATTGGGTAAAAGCTTTCCCATTCACAAAAGATATTGTTGGTAACATGGAAAGAAAACCAGAATGGCTACAAAAACATATATTTGGAAACGAGCTTATTCCATATGGACAAGCTCTGTTTGAAGAGCTTGAACCGGAAACTCAGGAAAGAGTCATGCAAACAATACGCGAAGACTCAAATACAAACTATGACAAAATCTTTCTAGGATATAGGTTACCTGAGATGGGCGACCAGAGCCCAAAGGCAAAAAGGACATGGAAAATTTACAACATACTAGGTGAACATGAGGCAAAGATGCAACAACTTGAAGCAGAGGGCAAGTTACCAAAAGCGACACCAAAGAAGAAGAGAAGAGTAGAACAAAGTGAAAGTAGTGAAGAACAAAGTGAAAGTAGTGGCAATGAAGGAAAAAGAAGAGTTAAAAACTCAGCCAGGAAGAAAGTAAAGCTTGGTCCACGTGGGTTCTATTATGACACATAAATCCAACTATTCTATATTTTTACCCATATGAAATGTACGCCGCTCAGAATATAACGCCAACAGTTTTGGATGCCATGAACGGAAATGTTTCCGAATGGTATAACGAATGCGACAATGCCATTAGAAGGTCAGAAATAGTTCCTGGAACTTACGAATATACAACTGCTGTTTCTTATGGAAACGTAGGTGAGTTTGGAGAAGGTTCTTCAACAACAGTAGATATTGCTTGCGACAGGTTTCATATTATTTCTATTGACAACTCATTCTTATACGTGGAACAAGACATTGAAATAAAACCTTCTGCAAGTTGTCTGACAAGAAAGGTTGCAATGGAATTTTCTATGTCGGATACCAATATGCTCCAGAAGTTTTCATGGGATATAAGATATATTCTAACTCTGACTTAGTTCAAACAGTAACATGGGCAAACTATGAATGGTTCGCTTTGAGAAACTCAGTACAACCACAAGCTAGAGAACAAACAGACCAGTATGCCACCATTGAGAAAATAAGAAGACTTGACCTAACGTTCAGGAGTTTATGTTAACCTTCTGGACAAAACTGCAGCAGCAGTAACCAAAGTAAAACTGAAACTTAGAGTTCCTTTGTCATCTTTCCTCATCTTCAGGTTTTTAAGATACTTGCCAAACTGGGCAGGAAAATTTCTATTGAACTTACTCCAAGCAAAAATAACTTAGTCATTGCACAACACAAGACCCATTCACTATTACAGACGTAGAGGGAACAAATAAAACGTCATTCGCCGAATTTTGCAAAGACAAAGTTGACTTAGACTTTGGTTTCTCAAACCTCAACACTGAAGTAAACTATTATTCAATGCTGCTGGAACTGCTTGGACCCAGTTAGGTTTACATGCGAACAGTTTGAATGCAAGAGAATAGAAAGCAGACTTGCAGTCTATATGTTGGACCCAGATATTTCAAATGCTTTAGCTGCCAAATATATTGCAGTTCACTTATGTTCCCTATACACCAAATATCTGTCAAAGACTTTGCAGGTGAGGTTGGAAACCAAAATCCAGGAACCGCAGGTGCAAGAACAGATATTGCTTTAACAACTGCAATGAAACACGCAGATACTATGTTTGTACTGTTCAGACGAACTATAAATGACTATTCTTGTTTCTACAACCCCGGTATTAAATATCATATAAACATAGATGGCAAATATTATCCAAGAGAAGAATATTCTACAGTTGAGGATATGAGGTCATACAACTTGACATTAGATGCTATGAACTTTAACAACACTTCACAACAACCATTAACCCTGAAATGCAAAGTTCTATTATGCCATATGTGAAAGTATGGACTCCATACAGGAAGTCAAAAACTCAATATACAAATGGAGACCGTTTCAAAACTTTTGGCTTGGCATTCCATTTGCTGACTCAGAAGACTTTATGGTGGTATTTCAACTGTTGGTACTGTACAAATACAATATACTGGTGACAGAGACGGTCCATATGAACTGAGAGCAAAGAAGTTTACAAAACCAATAGCACTTTTCACGGAAGATGCTCTTTTGAAGATTCGTTCGATGAAACCTGCTGGAGCTCCTCAGATTGGTATAACGACAGCTTCCATCGAGCAGATTTTGGCAGCAGGTCAGTAAGTTGTTCTTGAACTGACTTCTCTCCATCGTAAATAGTTATGACACCTGTTTTGACATAATATTGTATTATAAACTTTCCTTTAGAAATATCTGTAAGTTTTGAAGTTATATTTTTGTCTGCTTCAAGAACTTTCACCATTTCGGTTATACCAACTTTCTTTGCTTTATGAAAATATTTTGGTTCAGCAAAGACTGCTATTCTATAACATTTTCCATTGTTTGTATAAAGAACTATTCTGTCAATGTATTTGTATTGTTTGTTTGTGTAAACTTTGTTCTGCTTCAATTCGAAGAGATACTCGAATACATCCATCTTTTTATTCTAAGTAAAATGTCATTTCCGAAAAATAGAAGCGTAAGTGTTTCAAAAGGTTTAATGGCGGTGGCAGATGTGAAGTTAAATTCACCAACTCAAACAAACAGTCAAAGTGTTATTGTCAATGTCAAAGAAAGAGATGTTGAAGTGGGGAAACCATACGAAGACGAAGATGGTATAACAATTGTTCCTGTAAAAGAACAACCAACATACCCTGAAGTTAGCAGAGACTTAAGTTCTGTTGCAGATATTCGAAACGACTACCAACAACTGAAAGACAAACTTCAAACTCAGGAGAAGATTTGTCAAGCTTTAAGTATAATGTTAAACTTGGTCGAACACAACCCTGTAAAAGTGAACTCATATGTCATTGCACCTCATGAAGTTTTGAAAGAACTATTGAAACTTTTGACAGAGGCAGACGATATAAACATCAAAGAAATAGAACCCGACATTAGTTGCTGTGGTGTTTCATATAATGTCATTGACAAGATATACGTTATGAAAGGAGGTGAAACGTTGAACTTAAATATAGTTTCCCAGACGTTATAAAAATATTTGACGACCACAACATTTCATTAAAATTTATTTGCTAAGTAAAAATGTCAAAACTTCTTGAAAGATGTTTGAAGAAAAATAATATAGACTTTATTTCATGTAAAGGACTTTACAACACTTTTGAACGATATGAAAGACCCTGTTTTGTTTGTTCGTGTAGACAAAGGAAAGTTCTATGTCTTTACAAAATATTTGAACTTCTTAGACAGAGAACTTCAAGAAACGCATGTGAAAGTTTAGATGAAGTTCTTCTCCACTTTCAGAAAAACTTTTAAATATATGTAAATGGCAGAAAGACATAGTGGTTTATACTATTACGACTAAAAACCTGAGTCATATAATTCTATAACAACAAACTTACAAAGTCCTCAAGGACGGTATTGTAAACTAACCTTAAACACAATGACGACTAAAGCCTGTTTTGCTCTTTTGACACCAGAAGACTTTGTTGTTGTGAATGGTAAAAAATACTCCTTTGAAGATACTTACTCAGATATACCACCAACAGGTTTTGTTGACTTATTTAATACTTTAAGGACGAGTGTAACATGTGCTGCAACTAGAGCAGGTTTCATTATGTTTGGATGTCCGACTGAGTTTACTATAAACAATATGAGCTATAATACAAAACTTATATCTGGTTTTTACTACCAACAGTTTCCTATAACAGGAAAAGGTGTCATACAAGGAATGTCTATTCCATTGACTTTAAGTACACCTATTTTATATATTGTTTCAAACTTAGGTTCAAAGTGTTATTCGAATGTCGACAGAAACTACTATGACCAAAAGATACTTATGCGTATAAACAACACTTTCTCTGCTGGTTTGCCTATTGTTCATTCGAATGCAGAATTTTCAGCTTTAGTAAACTCAAACACTTTAGCAAACATAAACTTAACCTTAGTTGACGCAAACTTTGTTCCTGTAAAACTTTTATGTCCTATGTATTTGTCAATGACGGCAGAAAGTTTCGAATTGGAAGATGCAACTGGTGAAAGTATTGTATTACAAGAACAACTTCAACAACAAATAGCTCAAGAACAACAAATGCAACAAATGCAACAACAAAGTCAAGAATAAAAAAAAATATTTTTTTTTATTTTTATAAAAAATGTACAGAATAGATGTTTCAGATTTTTATGACTTCCAAGCATTCAGAAATATGTGTCCATTTCGAGACTATAACAAAGCAGTCGAGAATTTGAAACGTTTAGTCATTTATGTCGACTCTGCCCCAGAATGTTATGTTATGAAAGAATGGGATGTAGTCTTTAACAAACCAAGAGCAACAATAGTTTCAGAACAAGAATGTAAACAGAAACTTAAGAAAATAAAAGTCGTACAAGTTGGCATGAAGATGTTAGATGCTTGGGATATCTTATTGTCAAAACTTGAAGATTTTTCAGTTCGTGGTATAAAGTTCTATACACCTTCTCCAAACTTCTATTCTATCTTCACTGGATATAAATATGAACAAGTAGAATGGAAAGAAAATGTTATAGAAGCTTGGTTAGACCATGTCAAAGAAATTATATGCAATGGAAACGAAAAGGTTTATGAGTATATCTTATGTTGGTTTGCAAACATCTTACAACATCCAAGTGCTAAAAATGAAACTGCTCTCATTATAATTGGAAAACAAGGAACTGGTAAGAACACTTTCTTTACAGATATTTTGTGCAAACTGTTAGAGGGCTATTCGAATCCGAATATGACAAACTTAGAAAACATCTGCGGTAAATTTAACTCTTCAATAGAGAATATGAAACTTATAGTATGTAACGAACTTCAAAGTATAGATACACAAAAGTTTTGAACTCAGATGCTTTGAAGAGTCTTATAACAGACAAAGTTGGAGTTGTTGAAAGAAAATATAAAGACCAAAGAGTTTGTGAAAATGTTGCAAATTTCATTATGGTTTCAAACAATGCTGTTCCGATGAAGTTAGAAAGTTCTGACAGAAGATATGTAGTTGTCAGAACGTCAGAAGCTCATATGCAAGATACAGAATATTTTGACGACTTAGCAGAAACTTTGACATCTGACTTTTACAACCACTTGTTCTCATATTTCATGACATTAGATATTTCTAAGTTCAATCCAAGACAAATTCCACATACCGAAGAGAGACAAACATTGTTAGAAGCAAACAAGAGTGTATATGAACTGTTCATAGATGAAACTGACTTTGAGTGTTTAGATGAAAGGTCATTGTACGATTCGTATAAACAATATTGTCAAGAGTATGGTTATATGACAGCTTCTAAACGAACATTCTTGGCAAATGTCAAAAATCTTTTAGACGTACAGAATGGTGTATATACAAAGAAAAATTTTTCTGAGTAAATTTAAAAAAAAATATTTTTTTTATCCGATAGAAAAGATGACAAAATTCATCTCAGTAAACAAGTACATGTCAGGACTTAAAGAAGAACTAGACCCATTCACATATTTGAATGTTTACTTCTACCATTTTGAAAAGTCTTCATTCAGCAAAGTTTGGAACATCGAACCAGTTAAGTTTGCTATTGTGACTAAAAATGGTGCGAAATTTGAAGACTTAGACATAGAAGGTTTGTTAGCAGTCAAAGAAAGTTTTGACAGAAGGTTCTCAAACCTTAAAGAAGGCAAAGCATACAAACTTGTTATACCTTATGAACCAAAGAAAGCAGACGACTATGAATATTATGAGTCTAAGATAGTTGAAGTTCAAGGTAAATTGGGTAAAAAGATTTTAGAGTCTAAGCCAGTGTTTACTCCTAAAGAGGAAGAGAACATTGACATTGACCCAGAAATGTTCTAAAAATAAAATTTTATTTTTACATGTCAAATTTCTTTTTCTCTGGAACTGGTTCAGGTTCTTTCTTCTCTTCTTCTACTTTCTTTTCTTTCTTTTCTCTCTTCTTCTTTTCTGGTGGAGTTATGTCAAACTTCTCAGAACCATATTTTTGTAAAAGTTCTTTGTCCTTTAATAGCTCTTCTATTCTGTTTTCTATTTCATCTTCAAGAACAGTGCATGTGTCTTCTTTGCATTCTAAGAAGTTTTTTTGGACTTCATCTCTCCAAGAGGCGTCATCTCTGTCAACAAGTCTGTCATTGACAAATTTTAAGACTTCTCTGCTTAATGTTTTATGGTTCTTGTCATATTCCCAGAAACAGAACTTTAGAACAAATTCACCTTTCTTGTTTACACTATGTAAGATTTTATGGTCGACAGATGTTTTGCTGTCGAAAAGCTTGTCTCGAATATAGATAGCGAAATCGCAAGACATTTTCTAAAAGATAAAAATTTTAATTTTTCTAAAAATATGTTAGAAAAAAAGTTTGCTGACATTGACAAAAAATTTGAGAATGTTTTAAATAAGAACAAGGTGAAATTAGAAAATGCTCAGATAAAACCCATACATGACAAGTTCTTATTTGCTCAGAATGGTATAACAGGTCTAATTGCACCACCTGGGTCGGGTAAGACTTTCACTTATCTTAAAATGGCTGCACAACAACAAGAACTAGATGAGAAGAACCCATTCTATGAGTTAGTTGTCATTTGTAGTACTTCTGGTCAATTTGACCAAACCGTAAATTCGTTCAAAGATATTATAAAGAAGTCTAAGTTAGTATGTATAAAAGACTCTGAGTTGTTAGATTGGATAAAGAAGTACCAAAGAAGAGTTTTGAAGTACAATGCTATAAATGAGTATATAAATTCGAAGTTTAAAGACCCAAATGAGGAAATGCAGAGAATATTAGAGAAGAAACACTTCAGAAACAAACAGAAAGAGATAGAATACATTTCGAAGAAATTGCAATCTTACGATTGGAAGACTTACCCTCATAGATGTCTTCTTATCTTAGACGACTTTGCATCTCATCCTTTGTTAAAGAACAGAGAACAAGATATGTGTCGAATTCTTAAGAAGCTCAGACACTTTAACATCTCAGTTGTCATTTGTGTACAGACAGCAAAGAGTTTAAGTAAGGATGTAAAGAGAATACTTACTGACATTGTACTTTTCCCCGGATTGTCCGAAGACGATTTCATGGAACTTATGAAAGAGTCCATGGCAGGTAAGTTTGACAGACATGAACTATGGGAGAAGTACAAAGTCATACAAGACCCTCATACTTCTTTCAGAATTCATATCTACGCAAACAAAGTTCAAATTGTAAAAAGTCAAGCTTGAAAATGTAAGTGTTTGGTCTTAGTCTGTTGTGGTTCTGCAGCTTTCGGTTCTTCTGGCTTTGGAAGACATTCAGGAAGAGGAACGTCAGTCATCCGTTTGTGTCCTGTCGGATGGAAGAACTTTTTCTGTCGGAAGGAAAAACTTTTTCTGTCGGAAGGAAAAACTTTTTCTGTCGGAAGGAAAAATTTTTTCTGTCGTTCGACCAAAAAGTTCTCAATTTTCGAAAATTTGAATGGTTTACGGACGAACAACAGGAAATTTTTTTCCAGTTGTCGGGAAATTTTTTTCCAGTTGTCGGGAAATTTTTTTCTTGTCGGATGGAAGGACTTTTCCTGTCGGAAAGAAAAACTTTTCCTGTCGGAAGGAAGGACTCGGAATGCCAGAAGGATTTGACAAGACAATTTACCTTATAGAGCTACCTGAGCCATCTGAAGTCAAGCTTGAAAAATAAATGGTTCATTTACTCTGCTTGTTTGAAGTTGTCAAAATACTCTGTTATTTTTTCTTTCAGTAGCGGCAAATCTTCTTTGAAGGTAAGTATTGTACAACCTTTAATATCATAGTGTGTTTGAGGTAACGTATCTTGAACTATTTGTTTCACATCTTCATTTGGTGTCATTGAAATCGGTAAGTTTTCGCGATAGAACCAATTTCTGTCAGATTTGTAAATCTTAGCAAGGTCGTAAAAGCTTTTGTTGTTTCTTCTGACTAAATGCAACATAACCATATCTCTGTCTTCTTCATTTTCCATCTCTTCAGTATAAATCATATACTTATAGTTCTTTTCCTTTCCTTTTGGTACCGAACGTGGTATTCTTTTCTGTATGTTTTTGTCTTCTTTCATCATATCTTCTCTCTGCTTTGTACAAAGTTCGTCAAGTAGCATAAGTATGTAGATTGCATAACGAGGTGAAGCCCACATTGCTATTGAACTAACTAGGAACTTATGAACATATATACCTTTTAGATGTGATGGTAAGTTTTGTCTGTCTTGGTACATCTTTTTAAGTTCTACATGTTCGAACTCACTGAGGAGTTCATGAGTGCTATTTAATTCAAACCAGTCTTTAGGAAGCTTAGTATCTGGAGCAAAACATGCTGTCAAAATACTTTGCATTTGGTACATGTCGTCTTTGACCGAACGAATGAGACGTAACTGTTTGTTATACTGTATGTACTCGTATTCTTCATTTATATCTTCATGAACGATAGCAGTTGTTGTGTTCTCTGTTGTTGACATATCTGTCTTTACATACAAAATAAAAAAAATATTTTATAAAAAATTAGCGTTATTTTTTTTAAGTTTGGTCATCCTTCACTATATGACAAATATACTATATTTTACTTAAAAATATGCAAGCGGCTCATAGCTCAGTGGTATGGGCTACCTCGCTACAGGCGTCGAAGACCTCGGTTCAAATCCCGATTCGCGCAGGTTTTTTCCTTTTATGCAGTGAAATTTCATGTACATAGGTTACTTTGGTGTTAGACCCAAGTGAAGAAAATAGAACGATATAAGTTTACATTTGTAAGGTTACTTTGGTGTTAGACCCTAGTGAAGAAAATAGAACGATATAAGTTTACATTTGTAAGGTTGGACGATAAAAATCTCTGCTACTGTCAGTACAAGTATTGTTCTGAAACAGTACAAGTATTGTTCTGAAACAGTACAAGTATTGTTCTGAATCAGTACAAGTATTGTTCTGAATCAGTACAAATTTCTCACAAATTGAGAGCTTTTACGGGAAATTTGTTCTGAAACAGTACAAGTATTGTTCTGAAACAGTACAAGTATTGTTCTGAAACAGTACAAGTATTGTTCTGAAACAGTACAAGTATTGTCAAAACTCAACGGTTTGACACATGCCCTAAAAATTATTTTACTCAGAATTTTATACAGAATTCGGCAAAAATATATTTTAGGTGAAGAGGTGAGATCTCACCTGTTTTTTCACCTGTTTTTTCACCCTCTTGAATTTTCATGAATTTCCTTAAGATAGAAAAAATAAAATTAGCGTTATTTCCTGACTTTCACAAAAGACCAAAAATAAACGCTTTACATGTATTTTTCAGCAACTTCGTCAAACAATTTTATAGCTTTATCTATCTCATCTACTTCAAACGTTTCTTTACCTTTCGTGGGAGCACCATACATTTTCTCAAACTTTTCAAGTAGTTCTGTTTCTGCAGCTCTCATATCGTTAACAAACACAACCTTAACTCTATTGACTATACTGTCATATCTTTTAGTTATATTATATGTTCTTCCTATCTTATATCTTTTTGTATTGAAGTCCTTCGGTTTCTGAACGATGTAAAGTAAGCCTTCACTGCAACGTTCCGTATCGAATGAACCATATGTTATGAAGTTATATCCAACAACTGGGTCTAACCATAACAAAACTATTGGTATAAGACTTTTGTCGATGAGATATGCTGCAGTTCCATAGAATCTTACCGATATCATAAGCTCAGGATTTCTTGTCAAAATTTTCTGAGTAGAAGCATTTTTAACCCAGTCGTGGGATGTTTTCTTTCCAGATAGTGTTAGAATGTCTGACAAAGAATATTTGTTGTATTTCTTTGAGTATCTTACGTTTAAATCACCAATTCTAACCATTTTGGTGTCATTGTCTATCTTTCTAACTGTTTCAAACTCAGTGTTTGTCATTTTCTGTTCTTACATACAAGATAAAAAAATATTTTTTTAAAAAACTAACTTTATTTTTTGTATTTTGTATCTTAAGGAAATTCACGATTTTCATGTATAAAAGATATGATTTCAGGGATTTTTTTTACGAAGTGTCAAAGTTCTCTTCGTAAAAAAATAACAGTTATATAATGAAATTTGGTCATTTTTTCACGATTTCAGGGATTTTAGGCGACCCCGAAAAAAATCTAAATCGCAATTTTTTACGATTTTCATGTATAAAAGATATGATTTCAGGGATTTTTTTTACGAAGTGTCAAAGTTCTCTTCGTCAAAAATAACAGTTATATCATGATTTTTGGTCATTTTTTCAGCAAAAATATATTTTAGGTGTCACCAGGTCCCTCGGTCCCTCGGTCCCTCGGTCAACTAACATCTTTTTGAAAATGGTGACAACATGACATTTTGACAACAACACAGGAAATAAACTTCTTCGTACATGTTTTGTCAAGACTTCTTCGTAATGAGCGTAAATCAGACAAAAATATATTTTAGGTGAAGAGGTGCGATCTCACCTCCTTTTTCACCTGTTTTTTCACCTCTTGAATTTTGTATAAAAGATATGATTTCAGGGATTTTTTTGACGAAGTGTCAAAGTTCTCTTCGTAAAAAAATAACAGTTATATAATGAAATTTGGTCATTTTACTCAGCAAAAATAATGTTTAGGTGAAGAGGTGCGATCTCACCTGTTTTTTCACCTGTTTTCTCACCTCTTTTTTTATAAGCGTTTTACATGAATTGTACGATGTATATTTGAAATTCTAAACAGTTTTGTAGCTTCTATTTCTTCTGTCAGTATGTCAAAAGTTTTCACAATATTGAATGTATCTTTATATTTCTTCTTGACATCTGAAAGAAGGAAATCGTCAGCAGTTGGATAGTTTTTGTTCAGAAATTCTAACATGTCCATTTTATCTTCTGCTGGTTTCTCTGCTTCTTTCTTTAAGTCTGCATAGTCGTTTCTCATACGTTCTATCTCTTTGACGGAGTAGTTATATTTCCTCATTGCTGCTTTACATTTAGAACATTGTGGGTTCATTTTAGCATTGTACATTGAAATTTGTCCTGCAAGTACAACTATAGCGTCAATGGTTTTCTTTAACTCAAAAGTTGCGGGTTTTATTTGTTCATTCCATATTTTACATCTTCTATCTTTATCTCTTATCTGCCATACACATTCAGCAACTAACGAAACAAAGTTGTCGTAGGTCTTAAACTCCTCCGATTTATATATGTCAGAAACATTCTTATATAACATGTCGCAATCTTTGTCCATGACTTTGTGGTTGCAATGAAATCCAAGAAACTCATAGTTAACCTTACGTATGAACTTCTTTATTTCTACTGAGTCAGTTGGTTTCACTTCTATTTCATCGAATTCAGGAATAGTAAGCTTTTGTTGTTGTATTTCAGGAAGTTTAGGTAGATGGTCAATAATATCCTGCATTTCATAAAGATATTCTTCATTTGTTTCATCTTTCGCACTACAGTCTAAATTACATGTTAAAAGTTCTTGCTTTATCTTCTGGATTTCTGTTTCGAAAGTATATGAAGAAGGAATGAAGCTTTTCATTTCTACTAACATTGAAGTTGGGTTCATGACTAACGAGTTTGGTGCTGTTGTTGCTAACATGTTCTTACAATAAAAATAAAAAATATTTTTTTTAAAAAACTAACTTTATTTTTTGTATTTTGTATCTTAAGGAAATTCATGAGTTTTGGTTGAAAAATACGGTGGAGCCAAAAGTGGCTCGACCTCAAAACAAGCATTTTGTGAAGAATATACCAACCGCCGGAATTCCGCGGGTTGCTTTTTATACAAAATTCAACGGGTGACAAAACATTTACGAAGAAGTCTTGACAAAACATTTACGAAGAAGTCATGACAAAACATGTACGATGAAACCTTGACAAAACATTTACGATGAAACCTTGACAAAAACATATACGAAGAAGTCTTGACAAAACATATACGATGAAGAAGTCATGAAAATTCAACAGGTGAAAAAACAGGTGAAAAAGGAGGTGAGATCGCACCTCTTCACCTAAACTTTATTTTTGGGTCCTTTACGCTCATTACGATGAAGAAGTCATGACAAAACATTTACGATGAAGAAGTCTTGACAAAACATTTACGATGAAGAAGTCTTGACAAAACATTTACGATGAAACCTTGACAAAACATATACGATGAAACCTTGACAAAAACATATACGAAGAAGTCTTGACAAAACATTTACGATGAAGAAGTCTTGACAAAACATGTACGATGAAGAAGTTTATTTCCTG